GGAGCGGAACATCACACACTGGGGCTTGTCAGGGGGTGGGGGGCTAGTCTAGGGATAGCATTAGGAGAAATACCTAATGCAGATGACGGGTTGATGGATGCAGCAAACCACCATGGCACATGTATACCTATATAACAATCCTGCACGTTCTGCACATGTACCCCAGAACTTAAAGTGTAATACTAATAAAAAAAAGATCAGCAAATAAAAAAACAAAAACAAAAGAAGTCTTTTAAAGTTCCTCTTCCTTTAGGTAAGACTGGTTTAATTAATACTAGACAACGAAGCAAAACCTTGTCTTTTAAGTTCAATTTGGGCATTTGCAACACAGAAATAGTGTGGATATCATGTAGGGATTCCTTTTTCCTAGAAATATTTTTAGGCAGTATGCCCTCCTCTCTTCCTCCACCAACTTGAATTTCATTTTAGGTCTTAGTAGCTTCCGAGGGAAAGGAAGGTTGTGGGGTTTGCTGTTTTAGACAGTTAACATTCTTAATGCTGTAATATAAATAAGAATTTATGAATTATCACAAGAAGATTTTGAAGATGAATATTGAAAAGCCACAGGCCCTATCTTGTCATATTTCCTTGATACTTGATATTATAACAAATTAATACAGATTAATCAAATATTTTTAAAAAAATTTTAAAGAACAGCATACTACTTCTTCCTTTTAAAAACCAATACTTGCTCCAATAATAAGTTCTATTGAGGGTTACTAGGAATCTCTTTTCCTGAATTTAGGTCTGAAATCAGTGAGTTGGGTGGTAAGTGGTAACATAATTTCGTTTTTTGGTTTTTGTGGGGTTTTTTTTATTTTTTATTTTTTGAGACGGAGTCTCCCTCTGTCACCCAGGTTGGAGTGCAGTGGCACTATCTTGGCTCACAGCAAGCCCTGCTTCCTGGGTTCACACCATTCTCCTGCCTCAGCCTCCTGAGTAGCTGGGACTACAGGCGCCCACCACCATGCCCAGCTAAGCTAGCTTTGTTTTTGTATTTTTAGTAGAGACAGGGTTTCACCATGTTAGCCAAGATGGTCTTGATCTCCTGACGCTGTGATCCGCCCGCCTCGGCCTCCCAAAGTGCTGGGATTACAGGCATGAGCCACCGCGCCCGGCCGTAACATAGTTTTTTATAAAGGTGATTATGACTGTCAGACAGATATAAAGTGAACATGAGTCAAAGATTTTAAGTCATTTATTAGTGAGGGAGCCTGAAAAAAATGTTGCCTTGGTAAATTCAAAGATCAGACAAATATATAAGCCCACCAAGAAGGCCAAATGAATTTGCTTCATAAATAAAAAAACTGGCTCTTCCACAGTGGAGGGAAGAAGTCAGTTGAACTTCCACCAGATGAAATTTATTTGCACATCTATGAACACAAATTATTTGCTTTACTCTCAGTTTTCTACAAATTATCTTCTGTTCATAGAGTTGTAAATAGCTCAAAAACCAAGGCACAAACCCCATAGAATCAGATAACTTGGAATGTGCGCTAAACAATACATAGTTTTTAAAGATATTTAGTTTTTTGGGGTTCATTTAAAAATATTTCACTATGCTTACATAACTAATGTTGAAAGGTAAATGTTAGCTAAGTTTATTACTTAAATCTTGCATTTTCTACCATAAATGACAATATGCAGAAAGTACCTGAATTGGCCCAAGTCACAAAAAAACTGTTAAAATCATAATGGAATTTAACTTTGTTGTGACATAAATGGAAAAATGGACATAAATATAAAAATGATTGTTTCTAATAAGTGCTTAACTGACCCTCCAAAAATACTGTCTTCTATAGAAGTGAACTGATGAAAAAAATAAGTGTGTTAATGTTAGGATTTTATTTAAGTAATCTTGCCAGTTGGGAACTTTGAATTAGTTTGGAACATGTACAGAACAGGGTGCATCCAATCGGCTTAAATTGATTAATAATTACTCATTAAATTGATCTTTATAGCAGCCTGTAATGTATGTTTTAGAATACATTTCTTTAAGAAAAGCAATTGGGATAAGTCAACTTAAATGGGTACACACCATTGAAATTTGAAATTATTTTGGCACAGTTCAGTTTTCTCCTTAAGTTTGTCAGAATGGCATAGAAAAACTCACATTATTTACAAGAAATAAAGTATCTTTGAAGTTCTATTTACTTTAGAATGGATTATGATAATGACTAGTAATAGCTATAGAGAGTACACAGTACTGGCACTCCTGATGCATTTTTCTACTTTTTCTTTATGAGGAATAAGCAGATCTCTCATAGTGGTAACCTTTCACACTGTGTTTTCCTCGTTGAGCAAGTGTCTGTATTGTGACTAAGTTGTGCGTGAGAAGACTGAAGCTGGCCTTGTTCATATGTACCTTGCCTGGCCTTCTTAATAGATTATGGCATTCCACTTGTTAATACCAGTGGCACAGTGGCACAGGAGAAACTTCTACTGTTGTGCTATTTGGTAATGTGAAGACAGAAAAAGTCTTTTTATGGTAGTTGGGTCCTCAAAACAACTCTTCATGTTTTAGTGATAAGAAGACACAAGTTGCCTATTAAACAGAGATACATTAGCTTATTATCTGCAAAGCTGATAGAGCCTCTTAAATTCTCTCATGGTGACAGAAACCCCATCTGAAGTGAAGACTTGCAGAGCTGGAGATACCAGAGCACTTTCCTTCCTCATAAATACAAGTAGGGTTAACCCTACTCTTTACTCTTGTAGAATAAAAATTTCTGTAGTTATTGAACAAAAGCTGTCTTCTTTTTTCTCTGGCAATTAAAATATGATCAAAGAGATATATACTTGGTGATTGCCATTTGTGAAAATTTCAGTGATAAGCATTACTGCTTACTAAGAAGAGCAAGACTGAATTAACTAGTCTTAAAATAGATGAAAGTTGAGGGGAAATATCAGAGATTGAGGACTAGAATAAATCAACAACTTTGTGATAAGATCTGTGTGTAGGCACCTACTATATTTGTTCTGTTTCTAGTGCTGTGAAGGTTTTAAGAGTTCAATGTGTTCCAGTGTTCTGAGTGTCTACGTTTTCACTGCCCATAGCTACTTGGAAAGATTTGGCAAGTAAACTTGCTACCATGGTTGGAGGGGGGATAAATGCCTTTATCCTTTAGTGCTCCCAACAACAGGACCTTTTATGGCCAAGCATACATAAAAGTCCATGTGATTACTTAGGCTCATAGAGCCTAGTGCCATGGAGAAAATGTTGGAGAAATAGATGTCGTGTTTGCTATATGCACATGCTAAGTAATTTAATAAGCTAACATATCTATACTAATGATTGCTTATGATTGTTCATGGAAAATTTTTAAAAATCAAATGGAATAAAGTGAATTTTAAAAATAATTTGACTTTGGAGAAACTAAGAAAAAAATTCTTGAATCTTAATGTACTGTTTATATTCCACTTCATTCAAGAAAAAGGGAGTAAAATAAACATCCATAATTATTGCTAATCATATTTTAAAGGATACTAAGATCTGCTATGAAATAATTAAAAATATCTTTAGATCTAATTTAATCATTTATTGATGAACTTCTCTGGGGCTAGTTCAGTGATCAAGCTTTGTTTCCTAATAGAGCTCTGTTAGATAGGCTTACTTGGAAATTTTAACTTCCTAATCCTTCTCTGCAGTTGGCCAGAAAATTAAGAAGTCTCAGCCATTTCAGTGTTGAACCCTGTAACTCTACTTTAAGACCCACCAGGATTTTTAAAAAAAGAAGAAGGAAAGAAATTAGACATTCTGAAAGTAAAGGAATATTCTGTATATCTTCAAGCTCTTGGTTTTTAATTTATTTTTTTAAGTACCGGACAAGTTATTTCATGATGACTTTAAGTTAAAAATCAGAAAACCAACTGTTTTTTGCATTATACTTACCCCAAAGTAAGTTTAAAAAAAAAAAAGTCAGTATAATCCAGGAGATATTTTAATGGCACTCAAGAAAATTCTCCAGAAAGGGCCGGGCATGGTGGCTTACGCCTGTAATACCTGCACTTTGGGAGGCCGAGGTGGGCAGATCATAAGGTCAGGAGATCAAGACCATCCTGGCTAACATGGTAAAACCCCGTCTCTACTAAAACTACAAAAAAAATTAGCTGGGCATGGTGGTGGGCGCCTATAATCCCAGCTACTTGGGAGACTGAGGCAGGAGAATGGCGTGAACCTGGGAGGCGGAGCTTGCAGTAAGCCGAGATTGTGCTACTGCACTCCAGCCTGAGTGACAGAGCGAGACTGCGTCTCAGAAAAAACAAAGAAGAGAAAATTCTCCAGAAAGTCAAATCAGTGGATTAAATCAAACCATGAAATACACTCTGAATAACTTTTGAGTGCAAATTTTAAAAGTATGTAAAGTCACTAATAATTTGTACATTCTACATAGGAAAGAGTCATTGCAGACATAAGTAATTATCAAGTTTGAACTTTTATATTTCAAAGTTATACAGGAAAGTGAATAATAGGAATGAAATTGTTGGGATATTGTGCTGATTCTTTCTGTTGAGTAAAGTAAACTCTGATAGGCAGAAAGGAAGAGTACGTGAAGTTGCTGAAATGTTCAGTTTATAAAGATGCGATAACTTCTCAAAGTATCATTTTTATGGATTTCTATTTTAGTTCTTTCATGCATTGGTTATATTGGATAAATTGATCATAGAATTTTAAATTGATAAATTGATCAGGCTTTAATCAGATTTGAGTTTTAACTGTCAGAGCAGTGAGTAATTTAGTATTTTAAGAAGTTTTGAAAGGAAGAATCCAAACAAGTAAATATTCTTTTTCTCTTAACGTACAACGGGAGGATTAATTTTACTTATATATAATGTTTATCTTATTTGAAGAAGTAAGTACATTTGTGATAATTTAGAAACCGTTTCAGTGGCTCTTGTATAATTCAGTTCATTCCGTCTGTGCTCTCTTAATAAATTTTACAGAAAAACTCATGGCAAGTTAGCATTATTTGTGTGTGAATTTTCCAATTGTATTTCAGACTTTAAGAAAGAAAGGCCTTAATGGTTGTGAGAGCCCTGATGCTGACGATTACTTTGAGCACAGTCCACTCTCGGAGGACAGATTCAGCAAACTAAATGAAGATAGTGATTTTATTTTCAAACGAGGCCCTGTAAGTACTTTTACTTTACCTCTACTTTTTATTTGTTGATCCTTTTTGTTAACTTCATTATTTAGGCTCTGAACAAGAAGGAACACAGAGGGTGCGACAGCCCAGACCCTGATACTTCATATGTGCTAACTCCACATACAGAAGAAAAATATAAAAAAATTAATGAGGAATTTGATAATATGATGCGGAATCATAAAATCGCAGTGAGTACTAAAGTATGGTTTGTGCTTTTATCTTGTGCATGAAGAGATTGACCAAACATCTTGTTGCTTATTTTTATAGTGGGTGATGACAACAATAAGTAGAAGGGAAGAAAGGCATTTTATTAGTATTTTTAATAAAACTTTAAAAATTATTGAAATCTTATACATGTTCAGTATCTTAAATGTAGAAGTGAAGAGAAAACATGCCGATCCAGACTTTGCTACCTCTTACCCCAGTACCTTTGGATAGGGCACCTAAACATCTTGAATTCTTTCGTCATCTATAAAGTGAGTTGGCTCTCATGATTTTTAAGGTATCTTCCAGCATTAAAATTCTATGATTTATATTATAGAGTATGTATAACTTTCCCTCTACTCCCATGACTTAAAAACATTTATGTTCTTAAATAGATCTTGAGAAAGCAAAGTGTATGGTAGTTAGGATTGTTGCAAAACTTGTTTCTTTCCCTAAATTATTTTCAATTATTTTGTATAGTTGCTGTAATAGTAGAGCTAAGCTTACTGCTTTGCAGTTTGTTAATGTCCCCAAATCACTTAGCAACAATACCACCAAATTTTGTTCTTTTTTTATGCTGTAGATACTAAGGAAGAGCCGCTTGGCTTAATTTTAATTTAAGGCAACAATGTTCTTAAACTGATTGCAGAGCAAATAGTGACTTTACAGTTTCTGTATACTCATTCATCTAACCATAGTGAAAGAGTGTTTTTCTTTGAGCTCATGCTCCTAGACTTGATAGTTCTTCAAAGAATTCTCACTGGAAGCTCCATTGGCAAGAGCTACTTAAAACAGTTATTTTGGATCTAATTTCCTAATTCTGTGTATATAGGTCAGCCTCCCTTGAACAAATTAGTTTCAATGCTGATATTTATTTTATCAGAGTTAATTCTCTCAAAACTGTGCCCTAAAGTATGCACGATGGATCATATCTTCAGAGTAGTCCTGTACTACAGGTTGAGTGTCCCTTATCGGAAATACTTGGGACTAGAAGTGTTTCAGATTTGGGATTTTTTTCAAAATTTGGAATATTTGCATATGTATAATATCTTGGGGATGGGACCCAAGTCTAAACATTAAATTTATTAATGTTTCATATATACCTTATACTCATGGACTGAAGGAAGTTTTATGTAATATTTTTCATAATTTTGTACATGAAACAAAGTTTGTGTACATGGAACCATCAGAAAGCAAAGATGTTGCTGTCTCAGCTACCCATGTCATAGGTCTTGGCCCCATGTGGAACATCATGGGGAACCTGCTGTTAGCGTGTGTGGCCTACACATGTGCCATTTTATTACCCTTTATGGATATGTTTGCGTGAGGAAATCTGAGTGGGCGCAGAAAAGATATATTGAAGCTGATGGGAGACTGGAAGGTCCTTTTCCCCTTGGAGACACTGAATAAACAGTGTATTGTATGCCTGCATTTCCACACGTCAGGTGTGGAATTCTCTATGGCATCATGTTGGTGCTTAAAAAGTTTTGGATTTTGGATTTTCAGATTAGGGATGCTCAACCTGTATAAGAAGCCAGCTCACACAGAAAAATGGCTTTAAGGAGTTACTTTTGGGCAAATACCATTATTATTCTTAAAAACAATACAGTAGCAAATGAAGGGATGTTGTTGACCTTGCAGTTAATGTTAAAGCTGCAAAGATATTGCACAAATAAAAGTGTTTTACTTTTGGAAAAAATTGCCATATACCCACTGTTTTTGTATTTGTTGATGTATTATAATTTTTCTACATAAAATAAACTATTGAATAAAGTACAATAAAATATATTCTTCCAACTTTAAATTAGCAGTGTTACCTTATTTTTGTATGTTACTCTTTTAAAATGAGAGCACAGTAAAGTTGTTTTATTTTCTCCCACTTTAAATTCTAAAAAGCAACATCTGTTTATCATGGTTAATAAGCATATTGTAAATGGTCTATGGAGGAAATGCGAGAGGAAAATATAAAAAAGGGGGCATGGAATAATTTGGAGGGAGGGAAGGTTAGCATTTACAATATTTGTAATTTAATCTTTATACAATTTAAAGAAGATACCAAAAACTTCATTACTTTTATTACTGGCTTGGTTAGTAGTTAATTTTGTTGTTTAGATTAGATTTCTTTGCATTTTCATTTAACTCAAATTGCATTGTTCTGTATGTAATTACTTTTTTTACCTCTTAGTTTTGCCCTTTAGAAATTTAGTTAATCAGAATGGGACATATTTATGATTTTTCAGATTTGACATATTAAGTTAATAATGTGTGTATACACTTTTCTCCTTCCATTATATTTGGTATCTCTCAATAGAAATGTAATGTTATTAAGGTTTACATCGAAGTGCCAATTATGCTTACTTGGTGACAGTGATACATTTCGTAATGTCTAAATTTGACAACACTACTTGATTATCAGATTTAACCTCTTAAATTTGTCTTTATGAATATTTGAAATACAGAATATAGACAGTATATATTAATATATAAAATTGAAATTGAAAAGGCTTATGTCAGGCATATTCATGTTCAAACATAATTCTAAAGAAAATAGCTTTAATCTGTAAATTGGTTAAGAACCTATCCCTATCCTCTACTTTTAGTAACTTGAGTTACCTTGCCACATTAAAGTTCAAAAGTTACTTTGTAGATAAATATGAAACCAACAGTTTTTTCCTTCTTTTTCTTTATTTACAGCCTGGTTTGCCACCTCAGAACTTTTCAATGTCTGTCACAGTTCCAGTGACCAGCCCCAATGCTTTGTCCTACACTAACCCAGGGAGTTCATTGGTGTCCCCATCTTTGGCAGCCAGCTCAACGTTAACGGACTCAAGCATGCTGTCTCCACCTCAAACCACGTTACATAGAAATGTGTCTCCTGGAGCTCCTCAGAGACCACCGAGTACTGGCAATGCAGGTATGTAGTGATACCTATTATGCTGCTTCTTTAATAAAGAGGGTGAAAAAAGTCTTTGCTAACATAAGCAGTTTCTTATTTTGCTATTCTTAATTGTATTGTTTTGATGAGCAAGAGTCACTGCTGCATAATTGGCCTCATTTTAAAGTATTTTTTTGAAAATCAATTGTGAGTGTAGCGTTGTGTCATGCAAAGTAGAACAGTACTGAGAACCTGCCATTTATACGCTTTCCTTCTCATGGGAAAGCCATACTTTGACAGGCAGAAAATTTAGTTAGATATCACAAGCAAGGATTTAAAGTAGAGTGTGAGCCATTCATGTTAGAAATATGGGTGATAGACTTACCTGATTGGAGTTAGAGTATCTTTTACATCTCCTCCTGCCTGAATTACTTCATTAATTCAGCAGAATTTACATTGCATCTATTGTATTAGTTTACATAATGCAGTGTCTCCTCTCCCTTAAGTCCTAGATTTAATTTAGTGATTTAATCGTACTCCCTACATACTGCCCCCATTTTTATCAGTGTGTACTATTTTGGTATTGATGCAATACCACTATTTGGTATTGAAGGCAACATCAAACTTGAAAGGTAAACTCATATATATGAGACATGCAACTACATCAGATTACTTATTAATGCCAACTTCAGACTGAGCTAGTTTTTATTTTTGTGTCGTTTTAGAATTAGAGTGAGAGTTACCTCTGTTCGGTTCACATTCAGTCAGATAAAGAGACCTAATTCATATTCATTCTCTGCCCTCTGTCTTCTCTCCATAACGTTGTTAGGTGGGATGTTGAGCACTACAGACCTCTCAGTGCCAAATGGAGCCGGAAGCAGCCCAGTGGGTGAGTGAATTCCTACTATTTCGTTTTGTAGGTATCTAGCCTATCTGAGATTAAAGGAATGTTGTTCCTGAAATAAAGCTTTCTGGGAAATTTCCTTCTGAAGGGTACTTTCACTAATACTTAACATTTTTTTAAAACACCCCTGTTTTATTCCTTAAAAATCTTAAGGAGAAACTTTCTCCATCTTTTCTCCTTACCAAAGTTAGACTGTTACCTGCTCTGTCTTACAATAGCATGAAATGTTTTCAGAGAGATTAGAATGAAAAGAAATGGTGGGTCTGTCTACTTCTACAGATAGAAAGATGATTAAGAGATTTGTCTTGGCTGGGTGTGGTGGCTCACACCTCTAATCCCAGCACTTTGGGAGGACGAGGCGGGTGGATTGTCTGAGCTCAAGAGTTTGTGACCAGCCTGGGCAATGCTGTGAAACCCTGTCTCTACTAAAATACAAAAAAAATTAGCCCGGCATGGCAGTGCGCGCCTGTAGTCCCAGCTACTTGGGAGGCTGAGGCAGGTGAATTGCTTGAATCCAGGAGGCAGAGGTTACAGTGAGCTGAGATCACGCCACTCCACTCCAGCCTGGGTGATAGAGTGAGACTCCTTCTCAAAAAAAAAAAAACCAAAACAAAACTATGGACATGATTGAATGACTTAATAAAAATGATGAGGAAGAAATAAACAGAAACATCAATAAAGATATGAAGACAAGTTACAAAATAATGACTTAAAGTAGGAATAAATGCCTAATTATATCTGTCACAGTATTAAATGTTTCAATGGAATTAAACAGATAAGACCTATTGTGGAGTCTTACTTAACAGAAAACAGTTAAATGTGGGAAAATACATAAAGGTCGTACCAATTAAACACAAGGGCTGCTACTCTTGTATGTGTATTTCCAAATATTTATGGGTTTTTTCAGCTCTTGTTTCAGTTGTTTGTATGCCTACATACTCTTTTTGTGTCCCTTTTCGCATATGTTTTTGATTCCCCCAACAAAATAATAAGTTCAGAGTCCACCAAGAATTGTAAGAGTCTAGTATGCTTCTCTCACATTGGGTTGACACCCCAAAAGGCTGAAGTAAACCAGAGATAAACAGTTCTTCTTAGTAGCAACATCTTATATATGCATCATACAGTTTCTTTTTTTTTTTTTTTTTACGGAGTCTCGCTCTGTCCCCCAGGCTGGAGTGCAGTGGCATGATCTCTGCTCACTGCAAGCTCCGCCTCCTGGATTCACGCCATTCTCCTGCCTCAGCCTCCCGAGTAGCTGGGACGACAGGTGCCCACCAACACGCCGGGCTAATTTTTTTGCATTTTTAATAGAGACGGAGTTTCACCGTGTTAGCCAGGATGGTCTCGATCTCTTGAACTGATGATCTGCCTGCCTCAGCCTCCCAAAGGTTTCTTAAAATTAGATTATAGTGATTAGAAATTAGATTTAGGGGTTCCAGGATGCCTGCAAAAGCAAATATTCTCTGGAAGAATAAAATAAGCCTGGCCCACATGGCAGAACCCCATCTCTACTAAAAATACAAAAATTAGCCGGGCGTGGTGGCAAGCGCCTGTAATCCCAGCTACTCAGGAGGCTGAGGCAGGAGAACCGCTTGAGCCCAGGAGGTGGAGGTTACAGTGAGCCGAGATCATGCCACTGCACTCCAGCCTGGGCAACAAGAGCAAAACTCTGTCTCAAAAGTAAATAAATAAAAGAAGAAAACACCATCTCAGACCTTATTATTTCTAACTTGGCACATAAGCTGAACTAGGCACACACATAAATAAAGCAAATGAAAACTTGCAGAAATAAACAATGGAATCGGCCTCCTGGGAACTCCAGAATTTGGAGTTATTAGGCACAGCCTTTGACTTTAAAATAACAGTGTTTACTGTGTTCAAGGGTATTAAAAAAAAATTTGAGAATTTTAGCAGAGAACTGAAATGTATTAAAAAAACGGAAATTTTAGAACCAAAAAAACCTGTAATGTTAAGAACTTAACAGATGAGCTTAATAACAGATTGGACAAAGCAGATACAAGAATTAAGAAACTAAAAGATAAGATAGAAGAAAAGTATCCAGAATTTTGGAGACACAGAGGAATGGAAAATTAAAAAGAAGACCCAGAGCATGCAACAAACAGGATTAACATACATTAAATTGAAGTCCCAGGAAGCAAAGTCAGAGAAAATTGGGCAGAAGCAGTATTTGAAGAGATCATCACTGAGAATTTTTCAAAACTAACACCAACAAAAAAGCCACAAATTGGGAAGGCCTATAAAACTCATGTGGAATACAGATAATGCTGTGCTTTATGAGAAATTTAAACCTTTATGAACAAAAGACTGGGAGATGGTGAACTAAACCTGCTTTTCAGAAAGTCAGAAAAGGACAGCAAATTAAACCTAAAGTAGGTAGAACCAAATTATAAAGATACAAGGATTGAAATAGAAAATAGAAAATTTTCTATTTCAGGCATGGTGAAACAGATGATCTCATACGTGCTTTTGTGGTATTGTAAATTAGTAACTGTCTTTCTGGAAAGGTTTTGGCAAGATGTTTCAGTTGTCATAAAAATACAAATATTGATACTGATATAGAAAAACATAAATTGAATTAACAAAACAAATACTGATTATTTAAAAGACTAATAAAATTGAATGTTTTCAGTAATATTCTATTCAAAATATTTTCTAATTTCCATTTTATCTTTTTAACCTAACCTGTAAGTTATTTAGAATTAGATTTCTTAATTTCAGATACATGGGGATTTTCTAGTTATCTTTTAGATATTACTTTCTAACCAGATTGTTTTGTTACCAGATAGCTTACCCCTCTATATGATTAAATTCTCGGAAATTTGCTGATACTTTTTAATTGGCCAGCATATGCTCAATTTTTGTTTGTGTTGTATACTGGAAAAGAATGTTTATTCTGTATTATAAGCATGAGTTGCAAGTTCTACTCGTTTTAAATGTTTTATCTGTATATGTGTAATAACTTGCTGTATCAGCTCCAGTTTAGAAACTTGTGATAGGTCAGTTCCAGATAGTTTTGCGTTACCTTTAAACCATATCATTTTTACCAATATTGTCATTTTCAAAAGCATAATTTGTTTATAGACTAGTCTTCCATTTGCCTTGTTCATATTTTAATTTTTGTTGCATCTTCTGCCTGCTTCCCTAAAGCTGAAATACTTCAGGCCCATGTACTGTTGAAAGAAGAGGCATCCTTGAGACTTTTAAAGCACTGAACAAACTCAGGAAAGGGAAAGACTTCTTGAATAAGAAACCAAAGAAAGCCTAATGGAAAGATTGATTTGCTTGTGTTAAAATTGGAAACTTTGTGCATCAAAAACACTATAAAGAGAGTAAAAAGGCAAGACAGAATGGGAAAATATATATAGTATATATACAATCAATAGGGTTTTTTTTTTTTTAAGAATACCTACAAATGAATAAGAAAAAGAAAACTCGACTTTGAAAATGTGCGTGAGAACACATGCACTTCACAAAAGAAGCATCTGATAAATGTGAAGAAATGCTCAGTCTCAGTAGTCATGGAAATGCATAATTAAACCACAAAGAGAGAACACTGCACACCCACCAGAATTGCTAAAATGAAATAGATTGTATACCAAGTATTGACAAAGCTATGAAAAAGCACAAACTCATACACTGGTAATGGGAGTACAAGTTGCTGCAATCATTTGGCATTATCTGCCTAAGCTGCAGTTATGTATATTCTGTGACCCAGCATTTTCACTCCTCCTTATGTACTGTACAGAAATGCATTTGTGCACGAGTACCAAGAGATACGTAAAAGAATGTGCACAACATTATGTTAAAGTCAATATCTAGAAATAGTACAGATCTCTATCAACAGTAGAATGGATAAATATAAGAGAGTACATTCATATGGAAGAATATTATACTGCAATGAAAATGAAACCACAGCAATTCTCAACATGGATGAATGGCACCAAACATGAATTAAAGAAGATAGATACATACTCAGGATTCTATCTATATAAAGTTTGAAAAGCAGGCTAAAAAAACTACAGTGTTTGGGATGCTTGTGTAGACAGATGGCAAAGCCATAAAGAAAAACCAAGAAATTAGTGTAAAATTCACAATAGTGGTTACTTTGGGTAGGTGGGACTATGGGAATATTTTAGGGGCCCAATTATGGAAACTTCTGGGGTTCTGGCAGTATTCTTAATCTGAATGGTGGTTACATAGATCTTCATTTTGTGATAAATCCTTAACCTGTACATTTTTGTTTTGTACATTTTCTGTTTATGTGTTACATTAGCAAGAAAACAGTTTTGAAAATAAAAAGTACACTAGATATAATGATAAAGGAACTGTAACAACAAATATAAAGGTACTTTTTAAATTATAAGAGAAAATAATGTACATTTTGTGGTATTTATACTATTCCAAAATCCAGAGAGAAAATTTATAGACACTCACACTCACACACAAAGTATAGGTAGCCTTTGAGTCTTTGGACATTGTTGTCTGCGTGTGGCAGCTGGAACTCAGCACCTGTCTTGAGATCATGAGACAAGTCAGTTTAAGATGACAGGTCAAAATGCCAAGGTTGATAAAGTGAAAAGCTGGTGGCCCTCAGTGTTGAGCTGCTGAAGCAGCTGAGTCTGGGACCACTCTTCCCCCAGACTTCTTATATGAGATAATACATGTTCCTCATTCTCCAGAGGAAAAAAGTAAGATAAAATCCAAGCAACAGATAGGGGAATGTTTAGTAATGGGCATTTAATTGTACCAAAATACACAATTCAAAAAAGAAACCTAACTAGTATTTTTAAAACTGAAAAGGTTGTTCATCATTGGTCGTAATCATGAAATTCAAATTAAAATGACAAAACAATAAAATACTACTGCTACTTACTAATTCCCAACTGTTAGCACTTTTTATTGTGATGTTCAGTGCTAATGAAGGCGTGGTGAAATTGATCTCATGCATGCTTTTGTGGCATTGT